GATGAGCTGTAACTTTGGATTAAGCCTTTACCGTACTAGTGCGTTACGGCGCCTGAATCGTCCAAACCGCCAGTAAATACAGAAATTAGAGAGAATGAGCAACAGAAACGATTCCTTCTGAAGCGTCCTTGCATTTCGGTGATTTCCATAAATAAAATTATTTTAGTCCAACAATGCATGAATCCAGATGTTACTGAGGTAGGACTAACTGACAGCCAGTAAGGTTAAAAACAGCCGGCGTAGCAGGGGGAAAAAAAGAGGAGCTCGCTCAGAATATGTTTGCTACGTAGGCTATGCTAAAAACCACAAACCGAAGTGTACAGAGTTATACCTTGATCGTTCCTAAAGGTCAATTATATCCACCCGTTTAGTAGCAATATTGTAAAAGCCCGCATCCTCTCCTCGCTGATAAAGTAGCAACTCGTAACCAGTTTCCAACAGTTTTGGAAACCTCGACACGATTTCCTAGTGGCATTCTACACCGCTGGCGGCTGTTTTAAACTGGATTCTAACATTCCCTAGGCCCGCATTGATCAAAATAGTCCTGTCTCTCACGGCAGTGGGCGGTTTTTATGCGTCGGTCCGTGAGAGACAAAAAAACTTTAGCGTACAAGTCGGCACTCGTTTGCCTATGCCTTTCTTTGCCTTTGCCGGAGCCGGAGTAGGTGTTTCTTTGGGCAGGGGTTCGTGAATAGGTGGCAAACAACATCTTATGTTCTTGCGAGGCTGTACTAGATGCAGCTGAATAATTCAGAGAATTACTGTCAGGAATTGCTGGGGTTCCAGTGCCTCCCATATTCGTGTGGGAACGTGACAATACCGGTTCATACATTGTAGAAAAATACAAAAAATGAAATAAGAAATAACATTTGTGAATACCCCTCTAGTTTCAAAGGTTTAAAGACAGTTAACTTTGACTTGGCGCAGTTATTCCCTATGAAAAAATCCACGATATATATCTCTTTCCGTGCACCATCTTTTTTTTTCTTTTGAAGAGCGCTATTGATCATAAATAAATAAAGGAGGAACAGCTGTAAGAAAGATAACCCCTTTTCAAAACTCAGCGAAAACTGTATATCATAAATAACAACAAGCGTACATAGACTATTTTCAACAACAGGACTTTTCCTTCAATCGTAAAATGTGTCACTGCTAACAGTGATTCTTTCTGACTAAACCAGTAAACATTTCAAAACTCAAAACAACACTACGCATAATAAATTGCGTGACCAATTGTGACAATGACCGATCATGGACCTGGCATCTACGAGGACACTCCAGGGGACATTGACAGCTGACTTTACTTTTTAAACTGAGATTTTTCCATCGTTTGCTCTGTCGATCCTTCCACGTGTTGGAAGTGTCTGATAATTCTCCAAAAGAAAAGCTCATTTGTCTTGTTTGTTTCGTTTTTGTTGTTATTGTAGTTTTTCAACAAATTCTTAATCGTTACCGTGTGGCAAGAAATTCTTTCGGGTTCAAATTTGTAGGATTTTTCAAACGAGACGCATACCGTACGTAGCATTATTTCAAAATATGTATTTCTATTCCACGTATTTAACATAAAATAAAAAATATATATATTATCAGGTCTGGGCACTGAGTACTTTCTGAAAATCGGAAAATTTAATTACCAGCAAGAAAAACCAATCGGTCCTAATCGAAAAAAAAATTGTTCCCGCAAAACGCAACAAATAGCCAATCTGCAAAGGCATACCTTGACTCGTGGCTTGACTGGCTTGCGGTGTTCCAGACGTTTGACTCGTAACATCCAGCTGATTTGCTATTCGTCGAAAAGCATCTTTAACGTTGTTCAGCTCGTTGTTGCTCATATTGATTTAGGAGTAGTGTAGATGTACCTAAAAATTATCTTTTCCGCAGTGGCAAGAGAAACCGCTATCTTGGTTTTGCAAAAGGAGAGACCAGGGGAGACCGGAGACTGGAAACAACCCCTGCGGTTGGCCTGTTACGTCAGCGTTTGACATATGATACATTTTGACGGACATTTTACGCTGTCCTCACAACGAGGTCAAGAATTCGCGACCCATCGTGTCTGACCCGAGTTCAATATCTTTTTAACATCGGACTATTAAAAGAGATGATGAGACTTATATATAACGCCGAGTACTGAATACTGAAATTGCAAAGTTGGTTTTGTTTTCTCAAGTTGAAGGTTGGTTGTTCAACTGGCATGTTGTAGTATAAGTAGAATGCTGCGCGCTCAATTTTCAAGAACAGGTAATCATGTCGAATGTTGGGAGTTTAAGTTGAATTATTAATTTTAAATGTTGAAACGTGAAGTTGAAAGTTGGGTGCTATAACTTAATGTTACAGCTGATGTTAGCCGCTCAAGTCACTGTCAAGTTGAATGTTGAGGACTCAAGTTGATTTTTGCGAGTTTAAGTTGAATTATTAACTTTGAATGTTGAAACGTGAAGTTGAAAGTTGATAGCCTGTGAACAGGCTCTCGGTTCTTTTTTTGGGGAAAAAAATAGCAAGGAAAGGGAAGGGAAGGGGGGAGAGAGCCTGTAGACAGGCTATTGAGTTCCCCGCTCGACCAAAGGCCTGTTCACAGGCTAAAAGTTGAGTGCTGTAATTTAATGTTAGCGGGTCAAGTTGAAGTGTTGAGGACTCAAGTTGATTTTTGGCGCGGATTGAACACCATATATTTTGGGGAGATGTTATCGCCTTTATCATGTATTTGAAAAGTGATTCTACCAAAAAAAAATCACAAGGCGGATGCTAACACTAGATAGGAGAAACAAGGCTTTAGACTGATGTCGAAGGTGGAAGGAAGACCTTAAAATCTAAAGCCTTGTGCAGCCACCAAACGGACCACTTCCTTCTCCGTTATTCTGAAAGGTGGTGGGGGGGGGTGGTAACAACCCGACTAAAAGCGACTGGGATGCTCGTCGTCTTGCTTAAGAGTAGAAATTGGTCTCTTAGGGTTTTTAGGACGGGAAGCCAATATTCTTACGTGTAAAGGTATCACTTAATAAGGGTTGTACGTGGAGAAATATCCACGTAAAAAGAAACAAATACCATCATACCATGTTGTAGTATGGCCTCCTCTAGGCGTCAAATTAAGTTTGAGCCATTCCTTGAGTGGTCTCCTCTAGAGATTTAATCCTAATTTTCCGATTAAAATCCCCGTCTGCTTCATATAGAAGCCCATTTTCTCCCCCCGGACTTCCGATTCCCCGTTCTTCTTATCCCACACTACTGATGACGTAAGTTTTACGTGCAATGCAGCGTGACCAGCCGGCTTTCGGCTTCCACATCCTTCCGTTACTATTAACACCCTGTTCTAAGTGTATTTGTGGCCGACATCACAAAAGTGTCATAATTATCTTTCTTTACATAGTCCTATTTGTGACGAATGACGTTTTTTTCTGTTAATTTTAGCCTCAGCGTTACAACCTAAATTCCCACCGTTTAATAGTCAATGGCCGTATTGTGCCAGCGGACGTCGTCGTCCTAATCGTTCATATCCTTTTCCTGTTCACTTCATATTTTTTTTCTATGACTATCTCCTTCATACATTCCCACACTTTCTTAAGTAATCATCACCACGGATTGTTCAGGGTGGCCAATCATTTTACAAAGGTAAACAAATTGCGTGATCAGGGTTTTACCATGAGCTTCATAACGATAACTTTTTGTAGTTTTCATTCTGATTTTTCATGCCGATTTACAGCCACATCAGCCTGGCTGGTAAATGCAAAGTATATTAACTTTGAAGAAACTTTATTCTAAATCTGTTTTCATCTCTGAGCGAAATTCATTTGTAACACCCACACGCTTTGTCAGTCGGCTCAAACAAAAATCCTATCAATGTGAAAAATTTAAAAGCTGTCTTCCGTCTTGGAACGCTCGTTTAAATATGACAATACAAAATCAGGAACTACACACGTACATGTCTGTCTTTAATACTAAGATTAACAAGACAGATATATCTGATATTACTTTCACTACAAGCGATGATGTAAAACCTTTTTGGAGCTGTGCAACAATTTGTATTGCCCTGGTATTTCAACGATTAGAAAACACTGTTAATAGATTAAAAGCGATGAGAAAACATTACCAGCCACTAAAAAGGAAATTGTGGGTAGTGAAAATCATGACTTTTCTATCGATCAGACAAGAATCAATAGGATATACGTAGAAAAGGTCGCGTGAGTAATAACCCTGGTGTCGATTTACCCCACCTAAATAATCCCTAATTCGCTCACTCATTACATACAGTACGTGTATCGGTTGTGACAAAGTCAATAAGGGCTGAACGTTTCTAAAAGATTCAGGCCACGACTGAAGCATTAACCAAGCGGAGTTGTAAGGTACTACTTGATGCATTACACTTTGTAATATCATTTAATAATGCTTTTACCATAACAGCACTCGTGCCAACAAAATAATTAGCGGCGAAAGTTTGCCGAACGGACGACCGTCCACTCTGAAGAGGACACGATTGTACGACCTCTCTTGTGTTTTGTCTACCAGTTAGAAGTTCTCTGTTGCTTTTCTTTGTCACTTGAATACTCCCTATGTGCAATTCTTAACATTTATTGAAACCTTCTAACTTGACCATTGGTCCGCGGCATGGAATCAAGACAGGGGTTTTTTCTGTGCGCTCGTTTTGTCACAAGATAACAGTGATACTGTTCAACAGTATTGTATAACCAATATTTCTTGTTACTCTACAAAATATCGCTTCCTCCGCTCTCCAGCTCAAATTTACCAGAACCCGCTCTGAATTTTCTATAACAGTCTGCAGTTTCACTAAAACACCATTCTTTATCAGTGTAGTGCACGATGATCATGTTATTCATGTTTTGTTTGTCTTGGAGTGACACTTTAGACGTAGAATATTTCGGGTATAGAGAGGTCAGCCGATATTGAATAGCAAAAACATTTCGCGTTTTCGTCAGCCCAGGATTTTTCTACCCTTACGTTGGAAACATTTACAACGTTCCCTTTGCGATCAATGTTATAAACGAAACATGAACTATATCACGGCTCGCAATATTCACAGCTGCCTTATCGCATTCGTTGCTCAGAATCTTAAACTAACTAATCCTCTCGCCTTTTCAGTAATCAACCTCGTCTGTGTTTTGGCTTCTGTTTGTTCAGAGTATGATCCTGTACCGCAGAAAGGCCGATAACAACCGCATAGCACAAATAAGGTTCTACAAACGGGTTACCGGTTTATAACTGCAGTTAATGAATCACTTTTGTAAGACAAACAGCATATCACCCCGTGATATAGTCATAGGATTCTTCTCAATATCATGAATATACTAACAGCATGAGAAGCAGAGAACAGACATTTTGCCTTTCCGGGATTTTATTTCCATTTTTTATTTCTTCTGTTCACACTAGCTACATAGGGACTACATCTAGTAAGCTCGCTTTGTAAACCATACTTCAATATGTTAAAGATTGTCCAATTAAACTTTGGCCGTTGCAGTCGCCAAACTATTATGAGCTGAAATTAATTGGCCCCTTATTGGGTCGACCCAAATTAGCAAAGTGCACACTTTGGGTCAGACGTCGATTTCGGTCCAGTTAAAAGCAACCAGCGACGCGGATAAATTTCAAGATACGATATAATCTTAAGAACTTATTCATTGTTGTTTGGCAAATAAACTGTTGATTATCTAAATCAAAGTCGCTCCAAGGTCGAAAGTCTTGCATTGGCCGAGCCAGGCGGGAACAACAGCTAAACAGTTACAAATTGAAATACGTGTGGGCGTTTCTAATTGACTCGGACGCCAAACTTTTCACGTACTTCAACGTGCATGTATTAGTTTTGGCTCCTGAAAATTCGGAGAGGCTATTCGGTTACTGTCGCGACCCCGTCGCGACCCAGTAGCTAAGGGACGGACCATTAGAAAAGTTATGGGGGGGGAGGGGAATTTTCTAGCTGCAAGAATTTTTTTTTCGTTTTCAAATTCTTTGCATGAATTTTAATTAGGCCATTGCATGAATATTTTTTAGGGTTAATGGGCGTGCCTGAATTTTTTTCCATTTAGTTTTCCCTTCCGCGAATATTTTTTTTGTACTTCCCCCCCCCCCCCCCCCATAAGTTTTCTAATGGTCCATCCCTAAGTTTTTCTCACTTTCTCCATGCAAACGATGTTATCAAACAAATTAGCTGTTAGTGGCTGCCTTTAAAACAAATTAAAAATCAGTTAAATTAGTTTGAAACAATTCAAGTGGATGCTTATGTTATCATTAAGCGGCGCTCACTCGTTTATTGACAAATAGCACATAACACTTTTTTAACAAACGAGAATGGTACTGGGTTGTTCGTCTTTAAATATATTAGGAATGTAGTATTTATAAAATATACTCTGATCCATTAGTGGAATGACGTATTTCCTTCAGTCATAATTAGTAGTCGATAACTCCGTTTAAGAAACTTTTATTATATATATTGAGTAGTTTTTTTTCATGTTGTCGAATAATATTTCGGTACCTTTATTTGGTTCTTAGTCGTCATAGTCGGTAACCCCAAAAAAGATTAGAAAAGTTTGCAAAATTCTGAATTTCATACATAAAGAAGAAGAGCTCTTCCGGAAAGTTAAGCACCTTTCCTTGTAATGAACATTTTAGTTCTAAATTTGGTAATTTAGTGATCCCAAGAATGCACAGCTCACTTAAATTTAGATTTGTTTATCGGCACTTAACTTACAAGCTTGTATGGCGCGGCTTCATTATCAAGATTTGTCTCATTCTTAACCTTGTACTCAAAGTCAAAGTTGGGTCGGATAATCGTGAATCTGTTGAGGTTAGTACAATTTCCTGAACAGTGACTCGGTACTCAAGCGAAGATTGAAACGAGGCTTTTTATTGCGACGTGCTGAAACTCAAGAAAGACCAATCATCCAAACAAAGGCTGTTCACCAACTTTTGCTGTGTACCGGTGTGTGGCCATTTTGTATACCCTGCACCAAGGCGGTTACAAAGCGTCTGTGTTTCAATCTGTGGAAGAAATCTCAACTATTATTGTTTAAACAAAAGGTTTTTGGTCCTTTGAGTATGGAGAGACTAGAAATTATTTAAGAATAATGAAGGCATTATTTAAGCAATAGAAAACACTTTCTTTGGGTTTACTGGCTTGATAACCCACTCGGGATGTTGGGGGAACACCAGAAAAGCTTGTAAATCACTCGCCTTCGGCTCGTTATTTACAAGCTTTTCGAGTGTTCTCCCAACATCCCAAGTGGGTTATCACGCCAGTAAACCCATAGAAAGTATGGTCTATTGCTTTTATAAAATAACTTTAAGTTTTCTATGAGTTTACCGGCACAACAGACCATGGGTTTTTAACCAATTTGAACGCGCGTACTATCTTAGCTACTTTATTAATAGCACTATTGTTGTTGATTAGCTTTTTAATAGCCTTATCAACCTTGTGGTGGTCTAATACTATATATTTTTAATTACAGAAAGGGAAGCGAATATCGGTTCTCGATTAAATTCCGATATAGCATTTTTTTTTTCAAATTATTGCACAAATAACGACCAGAAGAAATCCTAAAACATGTATTTTTGCATCAGATCTCAACTTATAGTTGGCTGCCCTCGCACTGGTACTCAGCTTTTCTCAGATCACTTTTGTCTCGACTGCACATGATTGTTAATCAGACACGTTGTGAATGCTGGGATCCCGTAACTGAGTTCGTAATTGTGATTGGTGAAACATTACAGTGATAACTGTAAAACTGTTTGCGGGAGGATTCAGGTAGATTTCACTAAGCTGTATCTTGGAAGATGAGCCTGCTAAACCTTGAAGACGAACTGTCAAGGGAGTTTTTGTAATAGTTTGCAGTCAAGATTGTCTGCGGGTACTCTTAGCTTTTCTTTGTTTGCACTAGCGCGGGCAAGGAACAGTTTTTAGTGAATCAGTGGAAGAAAAGCAAAGTTCTATATGTCAGACGTGACAAGATTCCACGATGACATAACTTTGAAAAAAATACCCAGACTTTTCAAGTTGTAATCCTCTCCAGACCAATGGGAAATATAATGGGGAAAGGGAGCGAATGACGGGATGAACGCGAAGCAAGCGGGGGATTGAACAGGGAAAACGGGCTGAGCTGTTTGTAACAAAGTTTCTCTTTTGTTGAAGGTTTCCTCAAAGACGTGGCTTTCGAAGGATCTCTGTTGGTTTATTGGTCGAAACTCTCCTCAAGAGCGTTCTACTCGGTGTGAAGCGAAAGCGCTTCTTCAGATTGTCCTCAGAGGACGACTCATCATAAGTGTTGGAAAATCTTGCTTGTTTTAAAGAAAGTCTTCAGTTAGAAGGAGAAACCACAAACTCCTAACAACATGGCAACTACCGCAAATGCAAGGATGCGGGTAACAATTTTTTTTTTTTTAATTAAATGCTAAATGATAGTTTCTCTTTTAGTGAAGGCTTAAAACCAAAAGTTGTCTTTTTACTCATAAAACCTATAGTACACTGACTACAATGTATTTTCTCTTGGGTACCAAAGGACCCAAATGTTTTATCTCGTACAAGTACTTCCTAAGAACCTGTTTTCACAGGAACGGACGAATTTTTTACTGTGAAACCCGTTTACACGGAACCATGCAAATTCTGTTACAAATTGTGGTATAGCTTACCATTCAAAAACTTGCTTGATCGCTTGCGTCGACTGTCCCGTGTAAACGAAATGTAGCCTGGCAGACTTAATCAAACCCTGAGTGCGACGCAGCAGGCTAACGAAAAGCGGATCCGTGCAAGTTTTTGTTCATTTAAAAATTTGTCTGGACGCGTGTAAACTGGATCAGATTAGTGTCGTATGTTTCGACAGACCAATTTACTTACACTTTAATTTAGTTTAGCTTGTACCTACACCATAAGTAAGGACAGTAAGTCGTGTGTCGAGCGGTTAAAGCAGCTAAAAATCCGTTTTTGCTATCTATGCAAGTGAATACATCCAGCAAACAAGACTCAAATGGATGTTCCTAAAGGTCTTTTGCCTTTCCTGCAGGAGCATTTTAAAAGATATTGTCGCATCCTAATCGCACGTGGCAAGACGATTATTTTTAACATAACTGAGGCTTTTTCAGGCTTACCGCCGGTCTGCCGGCCGAGCGATGGGACTTGGGTTCAAACTGCCAACCAAAAGATCACACTGGCTATGATTAAGATCTTGTCCTGCCAGTTCAGCAGTGACGCTAAGCCGTTAGCGTTGTCTCCTTCTCCCTTCTTTCATTGGTCGAATCACATCACTATTCAAAAATGTTGGTAGAAGTTTTCCGGGTTATGTGTTCTACCTCATTCTCTCACAGGCTCGTTAAATAAAAATGGACCGGTAGCGGGTACCAGTGGCGCCCTTATATGCTTACGTCCGAGCTTACATTTTAACTTATTTCATGTAAAGAGGATGCGTCTCTTATCCTCCCACCCACGATATTTCAGTCTTTTTTAAATTCAAAAGTTTGTTATGCTGCCCAAGGTCTACTGTTTATAAGTCAGAGGGGGGAACTGCTAGATCGTACCAGTAAAGCAAGCTTATTTATAATAGCAAAAAAAATGCTTTGTTTGGTGAAAGGCCACTTTAACACTATAGCTAATTTGTAGGAACAAATAATCCACATAGCACATAATAAAGATAACATTTAAAATTTGAAATAATGATAATAAGATTAAACATATATTCACATAGCACATTAAACATTAAATATACATCCACATGATAAAGATAACATTTCAAATTTGAAACAATATGATTAAAAAGCTCCACTTTTTCTTAACTTGTTCTTTCAGAGATTCAATGCCCCCGTAAAACGCGAGGAAAACAAACCAGAATGGGTAACGCACACCCTAAAGAAAACCTCCGCTGGTAGATCAGGTGTTGCATCGCTGGCTTCACGTAGTACACAGAATGAGGCTTCAGAGGAAACGAACAATGAAAGGAAGACGAATGCTTCCAAGTCTCTTTCCAGAGGATTAGCAGCTCTGCTTGAGCGAGATAAAATTTTCAGTTCTCAAGATGCAGTTAAAGACAAAAACTCTGAGGATAAGCGAGCGGAAGAACCTGAAGAAACTAAAGAAGTTCCTAAGAATGATGCAAACGTTATTTCGGAAAATTCCAAACCCACTGCTGCAACTCAGCGGACGGTTCACAAGGCTCCTCAAGTTCAGCAGATTCAAACAGGTTCTGTGAGTATGGACACAAAATCAGAAAATTCGAAACCCATTTCTCCTACCCAGCGATTTGTGCCCTGGGCTCCGCAGGTTAAACAGGCTCAAACCGGTTTGGTCGCTGACGTAGCCAAACCAATCACAGATCAAGATGGCGAGAAAATACTTTTAAAAAAAGCCGTCCAAGAAGGAAAGGTTACTCAGGTAAAACCAACCACCCAAACATATGTGGCCAAGTCTCCTGTCATTGTTATGGGGAGAAAGAGTGGTCCCGAGGGACTTCCCGAAACAAGCAAAGAAAACAAAAGTAGCCTTGACAAAGGTATTGTCACGTCTTCTGTAAAAACGTCACCTTTTAAAAAACAAGAAGACAAGGAGTGTGACCCTAATGTGTTGGGCAGTTCAGAAGAAAAAATGGTAAATGGCATTCATGAGGCAAAGAAAACTGAACCCGCGAAAACTAAGGAAGATACACAAGTTGTCGCAAGTGTCCATCAAATGAAGACGGTCGAATCAGAAAACGAAACGGTTAAATTTCTTAAAGAGGAAATAGAAAGGATAAAGGCTGAGCATGAAAAGGAAATAAAGCGATATCAAGAAATGATAAGCGAGATGGAGAGCCGGCTGGAGAGTGAAACTTCTGATAATTCCCGATCAAGCTCTGTATCAAGTGAACCGTCACCAGCTTCCCCTCCCCCTCCCCCACCAGGACCTGTTCCTGCGCCGCCTCCACCACCACCACCACCCCCAGGGGTAGGGAGTCCTCCTCCACCACCACCACCACCTCCTCCTGGCTCTGCAAGCGCTCCTCCCCCACCTCCACCTCTTCCTGGCGGGGCACCCCCTCCACCGCCTCCCCCCATGGGTCCTGGTGCACGTCGCTTTGGAGGACCTGCCAAACCAAAGAAAGCAGCCGTCAAACCTGACGTGGAAATGAAGCCTTTGTTTTGGACAAGAATACTCATATCAGGTTAGTTTTCCGCCAAGCATTATCTTTCATAGTCATTGCCTCGCCTTTGGAAAAGGAAAGGGTACGAGCCTGCACTCTTTTCCCTTCACCTCCAGTTCCTTGAGTACCGCTTTAAAAATTGTAAGAGGTATGGGGATCAGTTTAGAGAATTAACATGTGGATAGCTGGCCTTTAAGGGGTTTAAACCTCGCTCTAAGTTAGACTCAGACTTGATTCTTCATTTTGTCTTCAGATGAGACAGACACTGGAGACGTAAACAACAACAAACCCAAGAACACAGTTTGGAAAAACATGAAGGAAATGGACTTCAACAGAAAGGAATTCCAAAAGTAAGATTTGATGCTAAACTATGATTTTTTTTTCACAAGATAGTTCACAGAATACTGTAATACAGACAACCACATCTGCTTGTATATAACAAAGACTTAGACTTACTATTATTTTTTTTGTATGAAGGATGTTTGGTCGGAAGATTAACAAGAAGGCGAAATACGATCACAGAAAATCCCTCCATGAGGACAGCCATTTTTCACTTTCCAAAGGACAACACGTGAGTTAAATTAAATTGTTGCTCTTGTTTTTTTCTTTTCTCTCTTTAAGAAGCAGATGATCATCAAACTTCTCGGAGGCACTTCAAGAAATGAAATATTTTGTACTTACAAGGCCAGTAATAACGTTTGATTCAGCCCAAAAGAAAGCTTTAAATCAAAGATAAAAAAGATAAAAGCTTTTTTTATTGGTGATAAGGGAGGGAATTCACGATTGGGTCAATAGGACAATTGCACGATGACGTCATTTTACTACAACTACCAGAATCCTTGAGTTTGTTGTTTTCTTGTGCAAATTAAGGGTATTGTTCTTTGATCCTCAGTGGAATTGACAAATTTAAACAACAAAAGCAAAACCGAAATGAATTCTGGTAGTTGTGGTCAAATATCGTCATCGTGCAATTGTCCTATATCATACAACGACACTTATTTTTGTTTGTTGTTTGTTCGTTTATTTTTTCACCAGGCCGCTAAGCTTTTGGATAATGGTCGGTCACAGACTATTGGAATCATCATGAGTAGTTTGAGCTGTCAGCTGGATGACGTCAAGACCGCTGTGTATAAAATGGACAATTCTGTTCTTGATATGGACGGGTAAGATTGCCAACAAACGTCACGGGATTAGCTTTACGGTCTATATACTTTGGGTCACTTTAGTAAAAATAGCAAGATACACCTCTGAATTACTTAAATGTCGGACTTAATCAAACAATACCCCACTAGAAAAGAAACTACAAACATGTTTTCGGAACCATTCCTAAGCAGTGAACGATGACAGATCAGGATATCACAATTCAAATACGAAAAAATATACGTTTCAGAAAAAATACTCTTGTAAAGCTTCCTTTTATGAAAAGATAAAAAGATAAAGGATATATGACTGGTCTTACTTACCTCTAGTTAGGATTCTAACCCGGTAAAAATGTCACACAAAAAACACCGTAACAACACGACGTGCGAAGGAAAACTCCGCCATATTGGAAGAAACACAATCGCAATGCACTGTGGGAAGACGTTCACCCCTCCTCTGATGGTCTACATTTGATCACTGAAGACGGGGTCCGAGTCTGTTTTCACTCAGTCTCTAGTTCTGGCCTGTAACTGTCCGTTGTACTATCCCTGTCTATCCCTATCCGCTATTGTTTTTTGTTTCACACTTTGGGTGTCGAAGACTAAGACCGTGATTTTAGTTGAGTTAGTGAACTGCTATCCACTGCATGAGATCATTAATCTTTATGAGAGCATTTGTTCTAACTCATTTTCAGACTAAAGGCGTTGTATGATATTCGCCCGAAATCAGACGAGATCGAACTGATCACAAAATACCAACAAGAAAATCCCACCGGTAAGACAAAATCAACTTCTGTCTTAATTACACCAACTTTTGCTAAATGCAATAATTAATCTCTTTTCTTCTCCCATCAGGAAAACGTACTGAATATAATATTTAGCAGTTCTCTTGTCTTGCTCGTCTGCCATTCAAATGTATAACGCAAGAGAGAATGATTTTTCCCGTTCGCCATCTTTTTCAGTACCTCTGGACAAACCAGAAGAATTTTTGCTTCAAATACACAAAATGGACCACTTTGCAGAAAGGCTGGAGTGTTGGTTGTACAAAAATAAATTCACAGAAACAATAACCGCCATTGGTAAGAGCTTTTTATACTTGTCTTCCATTGGTTAAGTCTAAAAAGAAAAGGAGCAACATGAGCAACTTTTAAGTTTCTTATGCCAAGTTTCTGGACGAAATGATTTATGGTCTCGCCTTTCAAACAGTATCTGTTGACCTCGGTTCACTTACGCAGTACCACATGCTTTTCGAAATATTGGATCTTTCTTTTCAAATTTTTCCTTGGGTGCTCCTTCGTCTGAGCTACATTGATTTGCACTAAATGTTATATTTTTTCTTGGATCTTTAGATAGAAGATTGTCTGCAATAGGAGAGGCCAGTAGTCTACTACGTACAAAGTAAGTCCGACCATCTTTGCTACTATTTCATCCTATGCGTTGTTAATTATAGGCGCTAATACCGGTATATTTATTTTTTCAATGAACATTTTCAGTTCGTTCTTGCTTCAAGAGTACTGACGTACAGAAACTAAGTCAATGAAAATTAGTTGTGGTAACGTAGAGTATTTCGCAAAAAAAATGTTTAACTGAAGACTGAAAAAATCTCTGGAAATTTTTACTGCATGGGCTCCTTGTTTACTGCCTATTTAACCAACTTAAAATCGAGTAGTGATCTCAAATTAGGTATTCTGGTTAGCACAGCTGGGATATCGACCAGGAGATAATGGCAATGATAATTTAGTAGTTATATTTTCTCATGAGGTGTTTTTCTTTCATGTTTTAGCAAGGATATTTCATTCGTCCTTTCTATTCTCCTGACCTTGGGAAACTTTATGAATGGAGGAACAAACAGAGGTCAAGCGGACGGATTTCAATTAGGAGTGCTTAATAAAGTAAAGGACGTCAAAACACAGGTGAGACACTGAGCCCAGAACCGCGTTGAGGACCTTCATGTATTCCCTATGGGAAGAAGAGCTGGAGAAGGCCTTATGTGCCTACTGGTGCGATGAGAACTGATGATGATGAAGACAAACAATTTGTGCTAACTACTAGTATACCCTCTTCTTTTCAACTGTCTCTGTCACTAACGTGTGAAAAGATTTTTGTCCGCCAATAGTCACCAGAGAGAAACTTTATAATCGAGGGACCTTACAACCAAACAAAAGCAAAGTAAATACTCCCTGGATTATCCTAGCAGATGAAAAAAGTTCGAAGCAATCACAAAATAAACGAACAAGGATCAAGACAAGTATAACGGGTAAAGAATGTGCGAAGTTCCCGTTGGATTTGCTACCTTTTAATATCAGACAGAGACAAATGAATTTAAAGCGTCCACGAAGCACGACAGGTCTGAGGACCAAAGCAATCGCAAATTTATTTTCGTTAAAACTGAAAAGCGCTTTTCACTTTTCAGGATAGCAACACTAATCTGATGCAGTATGTTGTCAAACTTTACTGTGACAAGAGGCAGGACGGTCAACCGGGAGACTATCTCTTACCAGACCCCTACTCTGTCCTGGCCGCTTCTCAGGTAAACCACAATGCATTGCAATCTTAACACAAAGATCAGATGTCCTAATAAAATCATACCCAAGCATCTTACTAATCTTTCGGTGAAATATCTCTACCGGCTAAACCTAAAACAAACAGGTGGTATAGTGAATGGAGTAGACAGTTATTGAAGAGAAGATGAATTCTCTCCTGCAGTTGCCTATTACTTTTCATAAAGATAGTTAATTTAGTTAGTGGATCCCTCCAAACACGCACTCGCGCGCGGAATAAATCGGCTCTCGAGAGTCGGCGTGGAGGTGGAGGAGAAAAATCTTATACTTGCCCTCCTTTTTGGAATACTGCTAATGTAAGTTTTTTCAGAAATTAATTTGTCTCTTCCTTTGTACAGGTTTCCTTCAAGGATATCAAAGCAGGTAATTTTAAACTTTTGTAACATTTACCTTTTCACTTTTTTGGGTTTCACAATATTTTAATTTAAGGTCGCGAGGTTTTTCCATCCAGTGGTAATTTGATATTTTGTCATCTTTCTTTTTAGAGCTCGCCGAGGCAAAGATTTCATTAGCAACGTGTAAAGCTAAGGTACGTCATTCTTTACAACTTTATATCGTTTGAAGTCAGCAAAGTAAAAGTAACCTTAATTCTAAAGGGCAGCCGCACTAATCACTATAAAAATGTTCTCCGTAGTATAGTGGCGCTTTTGTTGTAACAATGAGCCCTTCTTCTCGTACCTGGAACAGGCTATTCCTTGACTTTTCTGTGATATTCCCCTTTAGGTTAAGACAGAAAAAAAAACGTAAAAACGCATAGTAAGATAGGCAAATGTAGATTCTGCGGAGAATTTCGCTGCCACAGCTCTTTCTATCAGCATTTGGTATTTCTTACGTTATTATTAAAGATCTCTATTCTTGCAGGCAGAGATGGTACTGGGAGGTGAAAATTCATCGCACCGCGAGCCCTTTGAGAGTTTTGTGAAAGAATATTTGTCAACAGGTATGAATATTTAAGCATGATGTGGCTCTCAATTTCACCTGACTTCATCTTTAATACTGGATTTCGTCCACAGACTTACTGTCTGGAAGGAGGTCGCAAATTCATCTCTTTTTGCCTGGAACAGGTCTAGAGTCTCGAAGACTCAGCGGTAAACCCCCATAAAAAAGTTTAGGGAGTACTCCCCAGGCCTCCATGTACGACTGTCCCTCGTTAACGTCCACCTATCCAAAATACTATTAATATTTATTTCTCCCTGTAAAAGCACTATAGTTGGCACCTCTCTTAAGCAACATGAAATATTGACATTTTAGACGGTCGCTAACTGGCGTTTTAATGTCTTTCAACTGCATTATGGTTTTCTTTTTGCAGGTGAAAAGGACCTTTCTCGTTTGCAAGGAAAGGTCCAAGCAACAGTGGACGACTTTAAGGACGTGGTCAATTATTTTCAATATACTGGGGAAGGAGAAGAGGTATTTCTCTTTACCTTTGCTGTATTGGCCATCTTAATGATGGTGTCTATTATATAAAGGAAACGACTTAAACGTTTCAGGATCTTGTTTCCATGTGCAAACAGGTCTTTCCGAGTTGGCATATTGTGTAATCCTTTCATACTGTATGATTTGAATAACAAAGAATTAGCAAAATGTATTCTGGATTGGTAGTTGTAGTTAAGTGACGCCATCCTGAAAATGGATTATGAGTAATGTAAGAGAAGTAAGTATATAAAAGAAGCCTAAGAGTGTGTCTTCATTAACTTTGTTACGGTACTCTTAACTTTTAGGCTACACCACCTTTGTTGTTTGGTATCTGGGGAAACTTTTTAGAGATTTTCAAGAATTACTGGAAGGTAAGTAATCTAACTCAATAGTAAGAAGATACTTTTACTTTGAGTTGATAATGGTTATGCAAGTGCAATCCCCTAAAGGTACACCCGTCTTTTAGCCTGTCAAGCCTTTCCTAGTCAAGCGTTTCTCTTTTTTCCCATGATTCAAGTCATTATGTTAAAAAATTAATATGGCAAGGAAGTCATTTTGAAGTAAATGATAAAGAAATGCATCTAATTACTACTCATTTAGGAAAAAGTGGGAAAACCTAACTAAAACCGGGAAGGGTTGTGAGGTTCGCTTTCGAAAAATTTCCAGTTTCTGGTTTCCATTCCCTTGGCCTTCTTTTTGAAGTTTATGGAGATTATGGAAAACGCCTCTTACATGTCACGTGTTGGTGCGCCCAGGCCCAATTCTCAAATCAGGCCAGTTTCGTAGTCAAGTCAATTGGCGTTAGAGTCTGGTGCTCTTTGGTCAGCGGGTGGTTGCAAGAATAGCTCCTTGCGTCCGCCTGCTAACCAGGAACCCAGAGGACTCGAGGTTTGAGATTGTTGTTGCAGCCCAAAAAGAATTTTCTTTTAAGGTCTTCTAAGGCATCAGTACTTTGGATAAACTTTACGTTCTACAGGTATCATATTGTTACAACAGCTCTCCAAATTCATCCAATACAAGAGCCACATTTTGGTACTCTTTGCGGACTAGGGTGGATAAAACTGACACAGGGATTGGAATTCAGTTGTGTATGTTTGGAATCCGACTCTAACGACCAGGCCCGGGTTGCTCGAAGCATGGTTAGTGCTAACCAGCGTTAAATACCATGGAAACCTATACATTTTGATACCTCTTAACCAACGGTTAGAGCTAACCAGGCTTCGAGCAACCGGCCTCAGGTCTCATCACTCTCATGACATACATCCTACTTTTTTTCCTC